CCCCGATTTTTAGATCGTAGATGGAGGAGGCGCTCTAGACGGCTTTCAAAAGCTTTTCGATCAAAGCGGACCTGGAAAGACTATAATAAAGAACTTTTGCGCAGTAAATAGCCAGATAATTCTTCGATCGTGCGGTGATTGCGGGAAGCAATATAAAAGGGATTTAACGATTGTGGACTCTAAATTCAAGGGACCTGGACTTCTTATTATGGGTAGGTCTTTAATGGAAGGATATAATCACTATATTCACATTTCAAGGGCCTAATCATGACTTAAAAGACAAAGTAACTCTTCGAAACGTTGCTGTTTATGGTTACAACAATCCAGCTACTAAAATAGCTTTTGCATGTGTAGAGGCGGTGCAAAATTCCAAGAATCCTTGGCAATATGCTTGGATACCTGGAAAGGCTGGAACTGGCAGTTTTTGTAATTACCCAGCTTCTGCAGTTAAAGTGGTTAATTGAGGGAAATAAAGAATATGATAAAAAGATGCTATTTATCCCTAGCAATTTTCTTCTGAGCTCTAAAAAATGATTATTTAAAGCAAAACATAGCAAATTCATTCTCTTTTCTATCCTTTTTTACCTTTATTTTCATTTTTATCTTTTTAGCTCTATTTGAAAAGAGTTTTTTGTCCATAAAGCTTAAAAATTTAGTTTAGGGTTTTCTGTGTATTTTTTGTTCTAACACGTATTTATGATTTATTTTGGGTTGTCACAATAAGGAAAGAAAGGGCGAAAAGTGGTAAACAAAGTGATAAACAAGTGGCCCCTTCCAAAACACAAAAATAGTGCGCAGCCGCTCAAAAATATGGCAAATATGTGGCGAAATCGGCCAAAAATATGGCAAAAATTATGGGATAGCTTTAAAAGCTTAAACATAATTAAAATTAATATAAGGCGAAAATTTTGAAAATATTGGAAGGCCAAGAAGCAATTTATTATTATTACAGCAACTAATTATATAATGGTTCGTCAAGTGTCTAGAAAGTGTCAGAAAATGTCGCAAAAACAAATAAAAACAAATTAAATGTTTTTGCTGGACAATGTTAAAAAATAAATAAATTTTTATATTTTCTTTAAATTTTTATTTAAGTTTTTCTTTAGTTTATTCCAATGAATAAACAATATTTTCTATTTTTATTCTTTTTACTATTTTCTTTTTTATCAAAATCATTTTCTATCAAAATCAAATTTATTTCAACAATTAAAATATTACACAAAATTTTAAAAGAAGCTTGAAGTTAAATCTTAACTTTAGTTAAATCTTTTTATAAAATTTAAACTTTATAAACTAAATTCTATAAATCCCTAGAAAACTCAAATTTAATTCAAATAGAATCACAAAGAACTCTTAGTTAAAGAACACTAAACTTAGAAAACTTAAATCAAACTCTTTAAGTTCTAAGTTCAACTCTTTATTTTAAATAAAACAAAAGAATAAAAGTTACACAACTTTATTCAAACTAATTCTATTGAAATTAAAAAAGCTCGAGAGAATCTTTACACAAAAATAACTCTTAACTCTGAGAGAATCTAAAAAACTCTGATTATATCCTAAAATCCTAACGTTTAAATAGAGGAAAAAATGGGAGTTTTAACATAAAAATAGCAGAAATTTACAAAGTGCAATGAATAATAGGAAGAATTTCAAAGAAGTAGGCGTATTTGATTTCGCATGATTAAAAATATAAATTTAAGAAATAAAAATATTTTCACAATAAAGACAAGTGACAAAAGGGTCGAAAAATATAATACAAAAGTCGCATTTCGCTACAGAAAATATCATTTATGTTTTCTTTTTCCGGGAAAAGTCTGTTTATTAAGTTTATGTACAAGTGTGTTATTTTCCGGAACACATTTAAATTCTTAAGTTTAAAGTTTAATTTCAGAATTGGTTCAACACTAAATAGATATATATTTTATTGATTTTATTTTTTAATTTTCTAAATTTTAAATTTTTATTTAAATTTTTTTAAATTTTGGTACAAAAAAATTTATAAACTGCGTCACATAAATTTTAAATATATTCAAATTAAGCTATTTTAACGCTTAAATAAAATTTAATAAATTTTACAGACTATTTTTCCGGAAAAGTTTGATTGAGTTTATTAGTCGTTTACTCGCTATAGAAGACACGTGCGGTTATTAATACTGCAAAATTCTATCTAAAAATTTTTTTATGAAATTTCTTTTGCGTCATTATTTTAAATCTTTAAAAACTTATAATTTATGTTTATTCATATGTAAGCTGAGAGATAATTTTACATTAAAAAATTAAATTTAAATTAAAGAATAAACTAAAATAGATTTTAAAATTTTTTCCGTTTGCGTCTACGTGGAGATGGTTTTGATGTATGTGGAGAATCATTTAAAATTTTTTATATTTAACCATATAAATATTTATAAAAACCCTGTTTCTTCACCAAATTTTAAAAGCAAATTTTCAATATTCCCATAATCTAAGAGGAATAAAATGCTTAATATATTTATTTTAATTATTTCCTTTATATCTATATTGTCTATAGAATTAAATAGAGAAGGGGCTAGATTTTGTAATTTTCCAAAGGCATCACGTAATAATGTTACAAATACTGGTTTCTATGTTAGAGGCGACGAAGATTTTGGAATGCAAAGAATTAGAATGAATGGAAATCCTGGAACTTGTAACCCAAAAATTCCGAAACAATGGGGTTCTGTCATTACTGTTGCGGATGGTGGAACTGTAAGAAATGTGATACTTGGTGTCTCTTCGGATGGAACTGCTGCTGATATTAATTGTATGGGGAGTTGTACACTCAAGAATGTTTGGTAGGTCCTTACTTATTTAGATGATTAGAAGGAAGGATAACATGCTTAATGCAAATTACATATATGTATTAAGAAATCACAATATAAGTATTTGAAGTAAAAAATACTCACAAATAAAGTAGTCTGTGGTCTACCTATAGTTAGACTGCTTTTATCTACGCTATTGAGTTCAGATTGAGTTGCAAGAATTATATCCATTATTAATCATTTCAGGTGGGAAAATGCCTGTTGGCGTGCTGCTAGCTTTCGTGCGACCGCAGAATACAACCGAAAACATACAAACCAAGAAGGAGATTCAACACAGCAATACACATATGTACGATAATTTTTAAATTATTTAAAATTTTTTCTAACTTTTAGATCGTAGATGGAGGAGGCGCTCTGGACGGCTTTCAAAAACTTTTCGATCAAAGCGGTCCCGGAAAAACTATAATAAAGAACTTTTGTGCAGTAAATAGCCAGATAATTTTTCGATCCTGCGGGGATTGCGGGAAGCAATATCAACGAGATTTATCAATTGTGGATTCTAAATTTATGGGACCTGGAATTTTAATTATTGGTAGTTCTTTCAAAGTGGACTATAATGCTATATTCACATTTTAAGGACCTAATCATGACTATAATGACAAAGTAACTCTTCGAAACGTTTCTGTTTATGGGTACAACAATCCAGCAACTAAAATAACTTATGCTTGTGTCGAGGCAGAGCAAAATGCTAAAAATCCTTGGCAATATGCTTGGGCACCTGGACAGGCAGGAACTGGCAGTTCTTGTAATTACCCAGCTACTGCAGTTAAAGTGGTTAATTGAGGGAAATGAAGAATATGATAAAAAGATACTATTCAGCCTTAGCAATTTTCTTCTGAGCTCTACAAAAATGATTATTCAGATTCATTCACTTCTTTCTCCTTTTTAACCTTCATCTACATTTCTATGCTTTTATTATTTAAGCTCTTTAGAAAAATATTTTTTAATAAAACTCTGAATTTCGTTCGTATGAAAAAACTTTCCTGAGTATCCTTTGCTCTAAATGTTTATATGTTATATTTTGGGTTGTCGAAGGGAGGAAAGAAATGATAAAATGTGTTAAACAACGTTGTCGCCCAGTAGCTCAATGGTTAAATTACATGCAAAGCTTTAAGTAAGCCACGCGACACTCCAAGCGATTTTCTCATTGGTAGCTTGATTTTGCTAAACTCTTACTAAATTTAAATAATATTAAACTAGGTTAGCAACCCGACTCCGAAAACCCCGACGGATTTTTTGTCAAAAACCCCGACCCGAACCCCGAAGGCTCTACCCCGACAAAATTTTCGCCTGCGTCGCTAAAATTTAAATTTAAGAATTTGTTGAAACCCGACCACCGACCCGAACCCCGAGCCAAAAGTCAAACCATACCCCTATCCCCGACATGCCTTCACCGGCAAACCCCGATCACCGACACACCCGCCACCGAAGGGTCGGATTGCTACCTTATATTAATGATATCTAAGCATATTTTTAAATAACTTCTAGCTAAATCACGTGAAGCTTTTTTAAAAATATTTACTTATTTCCTGACTTTTATAGTTTATGATTTCAAATAAAATGCTCCAACTCTATTTTTTAAATTAATAAATATTTTTTTAAATAAAGCCAAAAACAAGGCATATGATTTCAATTTATATCAGTTTTTATTCATTTTTTTTCATTTTTAAAATTTTTAAAGTCATTAGAAAATTTTTTAAGCCAACATTTAATTTCAATAATAAGCGGGAAAATATTTTTTTCCTTTTTAGCTTATTTTGGGTATTTTGCCAACTTAGATATGATTTTTATTTGTTTAAAAAATTTATTCGAGCGGCATTTAGAAAGGCCACTGCCAATCCCCGGTGGTTCAACTATTGCTAACTCATACCAAATTTGAATAACATCTCCAACTAAATTTTTAAAAATATAGCTAAAGCACGTGTACATGTAGCTTTTGAAAAAAAAACATTTACTCAATCACATGACTTTAAAGCTTGCCTAAATTTAATTTTCAGCGGAAAAAATATTTTTTTCCCTTTTTTAATATTATTTTGGGTATTTTGTCAACTTCAATACAATTTTTATTTATTTAAAAAATTTTGAAGGGGCATTTAAATATACTAGAGTTGCTAGCTTTTAACTCATTAAAAAATATTTTATTGAAAATTTTTATACCTTAAAATGAATTTAATTTATCTTTCCTATTTAATAATTATTTTTATGCCTCTATTCTCTCTCACTTTAAATCTTGAAGGGGCTAAATTTTGTAATTTTCCAACTCCAACTGGTACTAATGTAACAGACAAAACATTTTTTATTAATGGCCACAAAGATTTTGGAGGACAAAGAATTATATATAATGGACAGAAAGGGACATGCAATCCAAACATTCCCAAAAATTGGGAATCTGTAATTATTATACAAGATGGGGGCAGTGTAAGCAATGTGATACTTGGTGCCTCCCCAGACGGAACATCTTCTGATATTTGTTGTCTGGGCAGTTGTACTCTAAATAATGTCTTGTAAGTGAATAAACTTTCACAGATTTTATAAAAGGAGCTGCATTAACTCAACATAGTTCTTTATCAGGGGCGAAGGCGAAGCCATTAGGCGAGAATAGTTGGAATATGAACATATAGATTATAGTTGTTAGTCCGGCCGAACAATATGAAATGTACCCTCCTTTAGAGTGATTAATGAGAAGATGACTGTCTTTCTAAACGAGTAAGAACTAGAAGACTATTTGGTTGACTAATTGATCAACCTTCTGATCAACTAACATTCCCGTATTCACTGGATCAATTGTGGGAAGCAGGGTTAATGGGAAAGTTACAATATTTTGTTTCAATCTCATATCTAACTTAACTTATAAAGCCAGTTGTTTATCTAATATGCCGTTCTATAATAAACTGTTCATCTAATAATTTAAAATTATTAACAGCTGGGAGAATGTCTGTTGGCGTGCTGCAAGTTTTCGAGCTCCAACTGGTTTTAATCGGGAACAGAAGAACAAAGGTGGCACATCTAAAGAGTTTACTTATGTATGTCTTCATTGCAAAAGTCGCTCTAAATTTCAAATTTTTAGACTGTAAACGGAGGAGGTGCATTGGACGGCTTTCAAAAAATTTTCGATCAAAGCGGTCCAGGAAAGTCTATAATAAATAAATTCTGTGCAGCAAATTGTGAAATAGCGCTAAGATCGTGTGGGGATTGCGGACTTCAATATCAAAGAGGATTGACTATTACCGACTCCAAATTTATGGGTCCTGGACTTACTATTATAGGTCGTCGATTTTCAGAATAAATTTCTATTATTAATCTGACAGGTGCAAATGCAAACCTAAAGGATCAGGTGACGCTAAGCAATGTTGAAGTTTATGGTTATAACAATCCTAAAACTAAAATCGCTTTTGCGTGCTCGGAATACAACCCACCATCAGATAATTATGTTGGGTATGAACCAGGGAAGGCTGGGACTGGAACTAGTTGCAAATATGGCGCTGGTGCCGTTACAGTTATAAATTGAGGAAAATGAAGAGAGGAAAATGAAAGATGGAGGGATATAAAAATTAATTAGTCATATTGGAATTAACAAAATTTAGTGATGCCCCAAAGTAGTTCGAGATAGATTATCAATAACCTTGAATGTAATATCAGAAATATTATTATCCAAAAATTTTTTAAAAATTCACTTAATTTCATGCAAATCACCAAATCAAATGACATAATTTCAGTAACAGTGACCGATAACTGGGACACCACTATGGGGCATCACTTCTATCTCGACATAAATTTTTTTTAATTTTTTTCAATATGGGTTTTGATTAGCTCTGGTATTTTAATATTTAAAGAAATTTTAGTTAAATAATTATTTGAGTAGAGAAAATGAATAAAATTTTTTTCTATAATTTGTAGGTTTTCTATATTTTTCCGGAAAACAATTAAATTTCAAGTTTGATCTTACATCTTTTTGATTTCCTGAAATTGAAATTTAAGTTCCACTCATTTCCGGAATAATATTAGATTTAAAATTATGTCTAAGCTTATTTAATGATTTCAGGAATTACTAGTGCAATATTATGATTACGGAAGGAATACATTTAAATTCTTAAATTTAAAAATCTTAAGTTGTATTAATTTCCATAAATCAGAGGTGTGTCAGAATTCCGATTTCTGACTTCCGATTTCCGAAAAAATTTTGATTTCCGATTTCATACTTTTGAGCCAGTTCCGATTTTCGGCTCTTCCGATTTCAGCCACCTCCGACTGTTTCGACCCACCTCTGCCGTAAAGTTATATTTATATTGGTTCAACACTAGGTATATATTTTATTGATTTTATTTTTTAATTTTCTAAATTTTAAATTTTTATTTAAAATTTTTAAAATTTTTTTTTAATTTTGGTACAAAAAAATTTAAACTGCGTCAAATGAATTTTAAATATAATCAAATTATAAGCTTTTTTAATGCTTAAATAAAATTTAATAAATTTTACAAACTACTTTTCCGGAAAATTTGATTTATTAGTCGTTTTCTCGCAATAGAAGACAGGTGCAGTTATTAATACTGCAAAATTATATTTATAAAATTTTCTATAAATTTTCATTTGCGTCATTATTTTAGCTTCATCTTTTTTGGCTTTATATTTCTTTTATTTATTTTAGATTGAGGAGAGATTTTTTATTTAATTCATTATTGCTTTAAATATATCTGGAGAGAGTCAATCCTTCACATATTCAAAAATAAAATTTTCTAAAAATTTTTTTATTCATTCCATCTAAACCCAATGAATTTTATTCAATATTCTCCCTTTATTTTTATTATTATACTAATTTTTATGCCTCTATTCTCTCTCACTTTAAACCAACAAGGGGCTAAATTTTGTAATTTTCCAAAGCCAACTGGTACTATAGTAACTAGCAAAACATTTTTTATTAATGGCAATGACCACAAAGATTTTGGAGGACAAAGAATTATATATAATGGACAGAAAGGGACATGCAATCCAAACATTCCCAAAAATTGGGAATCTGTAATTATTATACAAGATGGGGGCAGTGTAAGCAATGTGATACTTGGAGCCTCCCCAGAAGGAACATCTGCTGATATTTGTTGTTTGGGCAGTTGTAACCTAACAAATGTTTAGTGAGTGCTTATTTTAACTCTTCTGGCACACCATTGACTGATAAAAAAATAAATTAAATCCCAACAATAATTAATATAATAAAAAATTTAAAATAATTTTTTAGTTGGGAGAATGCTTGTTGGCGTGCTGCTAGTTTTAGAGCTCCCGATGACTTTAATCGGGCACAGAAAAATAAGGCAAACATGGCTGAAAACACCAAAGGATTTACTTATGTAGGTATTTATAATTGTAACTAAATTAAAATGATACAATGACTTTACAATTGGATATATGTACATATAAGATTAACTTTGAGCTTTTATTCTTCCGGAATTTAAAAAAAGAGACGTATGTAGGTGCATAAATGCATAGTTGAGAGTGAGATTTTCAAAAAGACCTTAACCTTGATCCTTGACCTTATTTCGATTGGATACCTTGACCAGATTCTTGACCTCGAGTCAAGGAAAAATCAAGGAACAATGAAAAATGCCTTGATCTGGACTCTGGATCCTGGATAAAACAAGGTCTAGATCCAGATTCAGCCCTCTCTCTAATGCATAGTACCGTTTATATTTTACGTAATATATAGTATATTATCTGAAATTTATTATAGCCTGTATAATTTTAAAAAATTTTATAATTTTATTTTATAAAAATAAAATAATTGTATTTAAGATTGTAGATGGAGGAGGCGCTTTAGACGGCTTTCAAAAAATTTTCGATCAGAATGGACCTGGAAGAACTATAATAAAAAATTTTTGTACTGCAAACAGCTCTATAGTTCTTAGAACATGTGGGGATTGCGGGCTTCAATATACACGTCATGTGAATGTTAGAAACTCAAAATTCATGGGGCCTGGGCTTACAATAATTGGTAAAATTAATTTTTGTTACAGAAAATGTTGTCTTATACAGGAGCAAATCTTAAATACGACGACAAAGTATCCTTTCATAATGTTTCTGTCTACGGTTATAATGATGAAAAAACTAGAATGGCTTATGCATGTATAGAAAATTCAGGAGAGTCAGCAAGTTTTAAAGGGTATGCACCTGGGGAGCCTGGCAATGGCCCTACTTGTACCTATGATGCAAGTGAGGTAAAAGTGATAAATTGAGAGAAGTTGAAGTGAAAAATATAAAATATATTTTTAAAATTTTGATAAAAGTATTTTCTGGTATACTAAATAGAGTTGGGCGGTATCGGGATTTAGACATAAAACCGGAATCGGGATTTTGGAATAGTGATCTCGATACTGATTCCGAATGCGGGATCGTTGTTGGCCGAAATCGGGATTTATCTTTTGATTTCGGGATCGGAAAAATCGGGATCGGAATTCAAAAAAGGGATAAGCCCGCCCGATTGGGATCCCGATCCAGCCGAACCCTAATATTAAATACACTCTTTTGGAAATTAAATAAAAATATAACTAAGATTAAACTATAGTAATTTTAAATATTTTTAACACTTTCTATGTCATATTCAAATGTTAAACTTATTATAAGCACCCCTTAGCTTTGCGGCAAAATTAATATTCAAATGATAGAAACAATCAGTGATAAATAAATTATGTTTAGTAGGGAAAATAAACAAAATTTCATGAAAAATGACCGTCTGATAATTATTATCACTCTTAAATTTTCGACATTAACGGCATTATTATAAGCACCCCTTAGCTTTGCGGCAAAACTAAAGAATGCTTATAATTTTACAGAGTGTATTTAATTTTTCTAATATTAATGAAGTAGAAACATGAGTTAATCCACAGACTGGTGATTTTACTATTAAAGATAAATTACCAATTGTCTGCAAGGACAAATTAGAAAAAAGCAATCTTTTAAATCTGGGACTTTTGATTCTATCATTATTAAACTTTTACTAGATAAAATTTTCTAAAAAATCGGTATTAATTGTAAAGTTTTTTTAATTTATTGAAAATTTTCTCTTTTTTTAAACAAAAATCGTATTTGGATTTATAATATCCGCACTTGCAGAAAGAAAATAAATGAAAATAAATAACCCATCAACGGGTTGGATGGTGGCACAGTTGGTTGTGCTTCGGTTTGGGCCCTTTCCGTGTTGGTTCAACACAATCTCCCATCCACAATTTTTCCACAGCATAACTTCGGAGATGACATACGCATCGTCTAGGACCATCCGTTCTTTAATTTAACAAAATATTAATCAACTATGCCCTTTCCCTCCGGCGAATATAAGTTTAATATTTATTTTCGATTAATAAGATTTTATAATTTCTTTATTATAGTCCGGAAAATTTTTTTATTTAAAAATGTTTTCATAAATATGCACTTTTAATTTCAACGGAAAGTCAACTTCCTTTCAAAACAACGCACTTTCCTTTCAATGAATTTTACTCTTGTTTTTATATTTAAAAATGGGAAAATGGTTGTAATTTAAGATTTCGTAAATTATCTGTCGGATATTTCGATATTCTTGTTTATTGCACTTTATACATCTACATAAATTTCTTTTATATAAATTGACTTTGAATTCAAATTTATTATTTTTCTTTAATTCCAAAATAAAATTTAAAATTTTATCCGAATGAAACTAGCTACTTTTTTAATCGTTTGTATCTTCTATGGGGTATTATGGACATTTGTTAAAACTATTCCTATTCGAAAAAGTTTAGCTAAACAAGCTGAAAAGGATTACACGGCAAATGATGTTAATAAAATATTAAATGAAGAGGGGGAATCGTCGATCAACCCTCAAATTCAAAAATATAAAGAAACGTTAAAACCAAAATTAAAAATTACTAAAAAGGAAAAGGATAACGGAGCAGACAAAGTGCTTGACAAAAGTGAATATCATAAACAATATTACCAAAAAAATAAAGAAAAGTTGCGTGAATATTCTCGAAACAGCTATGAAAACAATAAAAAAAATTTATTGAAAAATAAAGAAAGGAAAGAATATTATCGAAATTACATAAAACAAAATAAAGAAAGGATAAATGAGAATCAGCGAAATTATTATAAAAGAAATAAGGAAAAAATACGCAAAAGTCAGAAAAAGTATGACCAAAATAATAGAGAAAAGCGGAATGAATACAAGCGAAAATACCAACAAAAAAAGAAAAACGTTCAATCTGTTGGTAATGAAGGAACTTCATTTGTTAATCCACAGACTGATGATTTTACTAATTTAGTTAAATTATCAATTGTTTGCGAGGAGGAAGGAAATCTTTCAAATCAAAGAGAGGAATGCTATAATTTGGAAGATGAGCATAATCAAATCGAGGTAGAAGAACCAAATAAAATTCTTTATGATAAAACAATAGATAATAAGAAAAATTTAAGTAAGAAAATTCATCCTTTTGATCTGAATGAGATACCTGATGATGAAGAAATTGAAGATTAAAAAGAACGGTTCTTGGTCAATTTATTTCGTAAATTTGAATAATTGATTTCGATTCCTTAACTAATCCGGAAACTATGAAAGATGCACTGGGACTAACAGCTTTTCTTTTAACTACTATGCTTTTGCTTCCAACTAATATAAATAATTTACTTCTATTTTCTCCCTAGATTAACAACATTAAATGAATTCTTTATTTTATATTCGAATTTTTTAAAATTTTTTAATTATAATAATGTTTTCATTAGCATACACTTTTCAAAATAATAAATAATGATTTTAACAATTTTATTATTGAGAAGTCAAAAGTTAAAGGAAACATTACAAGGTTTATGAGGTCCCGATTAAACCGATTTCTAATTGCCTCTCGAATGTAAGTCGTCGCTTATTGAATTCGTAGATTCCTGATTAATAAGACGTCCATAAAAAGACATCCCTGATTCACTGATTACATCTACATTCTAAACATGAAGTTACCTCAAATTCTGCTGATTATTAGGCAATTTTCAAAATTTATTTAAAAATATAAATATATAATAAATTTGACTGTGAATATATAAATAAAATTGTAAGGTCCTCTTTGCCCTGCTTTATGAGCAGGGCAAAACAAAACTTAGGACAGAACGATAAGCGAAATGTTTGCTAACTGCTATTGCTATACCTATAAATTTCTTACATTGAATTTTATTTAAATTTTGATTCAATTAATTTACAAATTTCATTTAAGAAATTTTATCCAATAAAAAATTCATTTATTTATTAAAGCAAAGTTTTTGAATATAAAAAGTGAATCAATTTAAAGAGCAAGATTTATTTGTTTCTTATAAAAAAGGAACGCTTTTAGAAAAGTGAATGATAGGAGTGTAGAATTAAAAGTTTTTATTAAGAAAGAATTAATGACTTTTTAAAATAAGAAAAGTTAACTCAAAGAAAGAATTAGTTCTTCGAACAATTAAACAAAAATTAAATAAATTCTCAAAGGAAGTTAGAATTATATCAAAAGAAGTCCTCTAGTCATAGTTTTCGGATTAGTTAAGGAATCGAAATCAATTATTCAAATTTACGAAATAAATTGACCAAGAACCGTTCTTTTTAATCTTCAATTTCTTCATCATCAGGTATCTCATTCAGATCAAAAGGATGAATTTTCTTATTTAAATCTATTGCGTTATCTTCAAGAATTTTATTTGGTTCTTCTACCTCGATTTGATTTTGCTCATCTTCCAAATTATAGCATTCCTCCTCTCTTTGATTTAGAAGATTTTCTTCCTCCTCGCAGACAATTGATAATTTAACTAAATCAGTAAAATCATCAGCTTGTGGAATAACAAATGAAGTTCCTTCATTATCAGCAGATTGAACGTTTTTCTTTTTTTTTGTCGCCGCTTTCTCTTGCATTCATTCCGTTTTTCTCTATTATTTTGCTCATACTTTTTCTGACTTTTGCGTATTTTTCCTTATTTCTTTTATAATAATTTCGCTAATTCTCATTTATCTTTTCTCTATTTTGTTTTCGGTAATTTTGAAGATATTCCTGCTTTTCTTTATTATTTAACATATTATTTTTATTCTTTTCATAGAAGTTTCGCGAATATTCACGCAACCTTTCTTTATTTTTTTGGTAATATTCTTTATTATATTCCTTTTGGTTAAACACCTTGTCTTCTCCTTTGCCTGTATCCTTTTTAGTAATTTTCAATTTTGGTTTTAACGTTTCTTTATATTTTTGAATTTGATGATTGACCGACGATTCAGCTCCATCATTTAATGTTCTATTAACATCATTTGCCGTGGAATCCTTTTCAGCATGTCTAGCTAAACTTTTTCGAATAGGAATAGTTTCAACAATTGCCCATAATATCCAAGTGAATATTAAAACGTTTAAAAAACTAGCAGGTTTCATTCGAAACAAAATTTTAAATTTATATTAATATTAATGAAAAATAATAAAATTTAATTTAAAAGTCAATTTATTTAAAGGAAAATTTGTGTAAATGTATAAAAGGGCAAAAAGGCAAGGGTGTCAAAATATCCGACAGATAATTTACGAAATATTAAAGTACAACCATTTTTCCGTTTTTAATATAAAAGCAAAAATAAAATTCATTGAAAGGAAAGTTCGTAGTTTTGAAAGAGCATTGATTTTCCGTTAAAATTAAAAGTGTATACATATTGTTAAAAATATTATTTTAATAAAAACTTTTGGGCTTATAAAGAAATTATAAAATCTGACTAATTTAAGAGAAATATTGAAATTATATTCGTTGAAAGGAAAGGGCATAGTTGATAAATATTTTCTAAAATTAAAATAAAATTTTCATAAAATATATACACTTTTAATTTTAACGGAAATTTAACTTTCAAAATTACGCACTTTCCTTTCAATGAATTTTACTTTTGTTTTTACTTATATTATATATTTAAAACTGGGAAAATGGTTGTACTTTAAGATTTCGTAAATTATTTGTCGGAAATATTTCGATATTCTTGTTTATTGCCCTTTTATAAATTTACACAAATTTTCCTTATATAAATTGACTTTTAAATTAAAATTTATTATTTTTCATTAATTTCTAACTAAAATATAAAATTGTTCCGAATGAAACCTGCTAGATTTTTAATCGTTTTAATCTTCAATTGGATATTATTGACATTTGTTAAAACTACTCCAATTCGAAAAGGGTTAGTTAGACATGCTGAAAAAGATTCTACGGCAAAGGATCTGACTAAAATATTAAATGATGGGGCTGAATCGTCGATCAATCCTCAATTTCAAAAATATAAAGAAACTTTGACAAAAAAGGGCACGGATAGTTATAATGGAGACAAAGTGAATAACAAAGGCAAATATAATAAAGAATATTACGAAAAAAATAAGGAAAAGTTCTCTGAATATCGTCGAAATTACCGAAAGCAAAATAAACAAAAGATCAATGAGATTCAGCGGAATTATAGTAAAAGGAATAAAGAAAAATGTAGTCAACGTATGAAAATTTACTACGAAAAAAATAAAGAAAAACTTAAGAAAACTATCAAAAAATATAAACAAAATAATAAAGAAAAGGTAAAGAAAAGCAAAAAACTTTATTACAACAATAACAAAGAAAAATGGAATGAATACCGACGTAAATGCAATCAAAAAAAGAAAAACGTTCAATCTGATAATGAAGGAACTTCATTAGTTAATACACAGACTGATAATTTTACTAATAAAGGTAAATTATCAAATGTTTGCGAGGTCGAAGAAACTCTTTTTAATCAAGGGCAAGAATGCACTAATGGCGAAGATGAGCAAAATCAAATCGAGGTAGAAGGACCAAATAAAATTCTTGAAGATGACACAATAGATTTAAATAAGAAAATTCATCCTTTTGATCTGAACGAGATACCTGATGATGAAGAAATTTAAGATTATTAAAAAGAACGGTTCTTTTCCCATCATTCTTGTAAATTTGAATAATTTATTTCGATTCCTTAATTATTCCTTACTAAGTCGAAAACTATGATCAGTTGTACTGGGACTATCAGCTTTTCTTTTAAATAAATAAATTTATCAACTATGCATTTGCTTCAAAAATATAAATAATTTGCTTTTATTTCTCCCTAGATTAATACATGTAATAATTCCTTCTTTATTTGTAGTCAAATTTTTCTATAATCTTTCAATTATGATAAAGTTTTCATGAGCATACACTTTTAAAATAATAATTTTAACAATTTAACTATTAATAATTATTGTATACGATGTTCATGCTGTGGAAAAATTCATTGGATAGGAAAATTCATTGGAATACAATCCCACCGCCACTTATTATTTCAATTTGTGTTTATTATTTCTATATGTTTTATTAATTCTATTTTTTAAGAGACGCTAAACTTTTTTAGTTGGGTCATGAACACCCATGTGATAACAACCGCAGAGCACTCGACGCCCAACTCGTAGAGTACGCACTTGACCATTTGGTGATCATCAGCTTGACGAGCTGAGGGCTTCGTTTTTTCACTTTCCTGCATACGAGCAAATACCAAACTTCTTTTTCGTTCCATTTCATCGGCACTTTGTTCATTAATTTTATCGAATTGATTTTGAATTTTTTCAAGTGTTTCGAAAATAGTGTTAATTGCTGGTATTTTATTTAAAATATTGTTAATTTTTGTTTGAAGATCAGAAAGAATTTTTTTGCTGTCATTTTTTAAAATCAATATATCTTATTCTTGGGTAATTATCTTTTTAATTTTAACAGAAAATCAACTTTCTTTCAAAACTAAGCACTTTCCTTTCAATGAATTTTACTCTTGTTTTTATCTTTAAAATGAGAAAATGGTTGTACTTTGGGATTTCATAAATTATTTGTCGGATATTTCGACATTCTTGTTTATTGCCCTTTTACACATTTACACAAATTTTCCTTTATAAAATTGACATTTAAATTAAAATTTATTATTTAATTTGTTTTTAAATAAATTTAAATAGTTGTTTCGAATGAAACCTGCTAATTTTTTAATCGTTTGTATCTTCAATTGGTTATTATGGACATTTGTTAAATCTACTCCAATTCGAAAAAGTCTAGCTATACAGGTTGATAAGGATAACACGGAAACTAGAATATTAAATGATGGGGGTGAGTCATCGGTCAATGCTCAAATTCGAGGATATAAACTCCCAAAAATAAAAATTATGGAAAAGGACAAAGATAAAGGAGCAGACAAAGTGCTTAACAGAAGTGGATATAATAAATCATATTACCAAAAAAATAAAGAAAAGATGCGTGAATATCATCGAAATTACCGAAAGCAAAATAAAGAAAAGGTAAATGAATTGGTGAGAAACAACTACCAAAAAAATAAGGAAAAAATACTCAAAAGGCAGAAAAATTATAAGAAAAATAATAGAGAAAAGGTGAACGAATATCAACGAAAATACCGACAAGAAAAGAAAAACGTTCAATCTGGTAATAATGAAGGAACTTCATCTGTTAATCCACAGACTGATGATTTTATTAACAATGGTAAATTACCAATTGTCTGCGAGATTAGTTTTGAGGAAGGAAATCCAAATCAAGGAGAGGAAAAATGCAACAATAGTGAGGCTGAACATAATCAAATCGAGGCAGAAGAGCCAAATAAAATTCTTGAAGAAGACATAAATCAAAAAGAATTAAATAAAAAAATTCATTTTTTTGATTTGAACGAGATGCCTGATGATGAAGTATGAGAAGATTATTAAAAGGAACCGCATCTATCCCATTTATACGTTCTAAGATTTTCTATATTGATTTATAAAATTGGACGAATATTTTACTTTTTTAGGCCTTAGTTGGTCTGTAACTATCCGTCTTTATTTTAAAAAATATTTATAAACTATTACATATGTTCTTCCTTTTCAACGAATTTAATTTTAATATTTTTTGATCAAAAAGATTAAATAATTTTTATTTATTATATTTTGGAAATTTTTATTACTATTCAAGCAAATATTTTCAAGAATATACACTTCAAAAAACCTTAATTAAACTTTCTCTAGGCTATAAATCAAATATTTGATTTATAGATAGATTTACGACATATCAAGGAAATTCAGATGATTCCAAAAATTAAAGCTAGTTTTATATCGGTTTTTCCATTCTTCCCATAAAGGAGATGTAGAGAAATGGCCTAATTTCTCTAATTTAAACCAAAAATAAAAATCCTTTTCCAATCAAAGTTTATTTATTTCACAAATAAAATATAAAGCAATGGTAGGCTAAACTGAATCCAGCGATTAGGAAAATATTGCTAATGTGAAGCAAGTAATAAGGAAGGCTTAAGAAGAATGAAAGGTAAAGAACTGATTGGAAGGAAAAAGAATAAGCGTATATATAAAGAGTATGTGGACACAAAAGGAATAATTACATGCTAAAGTTTATGAAGGCTGGGAAAATTCTTTAGATTAAATTATTAGATAAATAGCACAAAAATGTTTTTATGGAAAATAAATAAATTGTGGGAGAAAAAATTGTTCCGACTTCGCTTCGCGACAGAGAGTTAAGCTAAACACTTATGTATATTATTTCATCATTACTGTAATGTTTCTATTTGAAAAATGCGCTTTAGACAAAGCGTTAACATCATGCTTCGGCAAGCCTTTGGACCTGATAAACCCTCGGAGCTTTACCGATTAAGGTGATAGGTATGCCAGACTTATGTCTAGGATACCCTTGTCTTCACTTCCAAGGAAAATAATTTCAATATTTCAAATTTTATTTGTACTTCCTTTTTTATTATAGTGCGGAAAATTTCACATTAAAATAATGTTTTCAAGTATATGCACTTTTAATTTTGACGGAAAATCGACTTTCTTTCAAAACATGCACTTTCCTTTCAATGAATTTTATTTTTGTTTTATACGTTTAAAAGGGGAAAATGTTTGTATTTTGAAATTACGTTAATTTTCAGTCGGATATTTCGACATTCTTGTTTATTGCCCTTTTATAGACTTACACAATTTTTCCTTTATATAAATTGACTTTTAAATTAGAATTTATTATTTTTCATAAATTTCTAAATAAATTTAAAAATTTGTTTAGGATGAAATTTACAAGTTTTTTAATCGTTTTATTCGTCAATTGGGTATTATGGACATTTGTTAAAACTATTTCTATTCGAAAAAGTTTAGCTAGACAGGTTGAAAAGGATTTCATGGCAAAGGATATGACTAAAATATTAAATGATGAGGCTGAATCGTCGGTCAATCCTCAAATTCAAAAACATAAAGAAAAGTTAGAAATACAATTAAAAAATACAAAGGAAACGGATAAAGGAGGAGATAAAACGTCTAATAGAAGTGAATATTTTAAAGAATATAGACAGAAAAATAAGCAAAAGTTGTTTGAATATAATCGAAATTACCGAAAACAAAACAGAGAAAAAATGAACGAGAATCAGCGGAATTATAATGAACGGATTAAAGAGAAAAGTAGACAATATTTCAAAATTTACTACCAAAAAAATAAGGAAAGTATCAGGAAAAACCAGAAAACGTATAACCAAAATAATAAAGAAAAGCGAATTGAATACAAGAGAAAGTACCGACAAAATAAGAAAAACGTTCAATCTGATAATAATGAAGGAACTTCATTTGTTAATCCACAGACTGTTGATTTTACTAATATATTTAAATTATCAATTGTCTGCGAGGAGGAAGGAAATCTTCTTAATCAAGGGGAGGAAGAGTACAATAAAGGGGAAGATAAGCAAAATCAAATCGAGGTAGAAGAGACTAATAAAATTCATGAAGATGATTCAAATAAAGTAGATTGTAACAAGAAAATTAATCCTTTCGATCTGAACGAGTTACCTGGGGATGAAGATTGTGAAGATCATTAAAAATACGGCTTTTTACAATTTAGCGTGGCTTTTCCATAATCTATTCATCAGAATTTATTTTTAATATAATTTTAAGTACTCGAAAAGTACTAAAAATTACTATATTTTCTAATTGATTTTAAATTTTCAAATTATATATAAGAAAATAGTAATAAATTTTTATAAAAAATATGTGATTATTTGATTAAAGACTTATTTAAATGACATGGACTACATACGTCCAAATTTATTTAAATGAAATTTAATCATGTTTACATTTTTAATGTAAACATTTCAAATTTTAAAAATTTTGCAAATTTTATCAGTAAATATTTTTTAATATAAAGTACACCATAGAATTGTTTTTCTTATCATTTCAAAATAAAGTAAAAAATTTAATAAAAATTTTTCCTTAATTTTTCAAAAAATAAAAAATTCTTTAAAATATAATAAAATTTCAATAAAAATTATTTCGTTAAAATAAAAAGAAATTAATTAGTTTTAAATTAATAAATTAAAAAGACTTAAAAAAATTTCTGAATGACTTCTGAAATTTTAAATTTATAATATGTATCTTTTAGTTCTCTTTAAATGAAATTTTAAGAGCTGAATTAGTGTTTTTTAATTAGAATACTGAATTTTATAGCACATTTACACTGTTTTTTGCTGCATATTTAATGCTAATTTAGGAAATTTTGCATATTTTAGTGCATATTTTGGGCATTATATATGCGCATATTTTGCGATTTTACGTGCATATTTTTCAAGCCCTACTTATTACACACACCATCAAAGTAATGTAATAAATAATACAATTAAATTAGATGATTAGCATATTTCCTGTAAAATAATATTTCCGGCAAATAAAGGTTGTGTGAAAATATGTAACCTTTATTTATTATCACTTGCACTTTCATTTCAATGAATTTTATTTGTTTTTGTATTTAAAGTATAAAATGGTTGTCCTTTGAGATTTCATAATTTGTCCGTCTATACTTGTACTTTCTAGCATTATTGTTCTTTTTACATAACAAATCTTCATATATATAAATTCACAGTATGACC